AGTGCATAGCAGAAAGGTAAAGACTCCATCATGGAATCATCATTCAACATTTAGGCTCGGGAATGAGACTAAGTATTAAGTGATTTCTATCTATTACAATTGTCTAAAAGCATGTTTATTTTTTTTTTTCCAAATGACATGTGATGTAATAGATGTGTAGTAGATCTGAGAGCTGATCAGGATGTCAGGAGCCAGGAAGCCTCAAATTCAGGTTCCATCTCCAATACTTAACTCCATTCTTTAGACAACTCTCAAAGACAATAAGTTGCAGATAAAGTACTAATCTATTTTGGAAGAGGGAATTTTCTCATGCAGGAATTCTCTAGTGCAATGCAATCCCAAGTTGAAGCTTATTTTATCTTTTATGCCACCTTTATTTCTGAAAACATGTCTCCCTCTCTCTCCCCAGTAAACTATTTGTTCCTTGTTATAATTTTTAAAAGAATAAAAAAGGCTTTCAGAAAAAAAATCAACAGATTAATCACATATGATACTATATTCCATATTACACATACACAGTCCCTTTCTTCTGACAAGAAGAGAGGGAAGTATATTGATATGTGATTTAGTGTTAATGAAAGAAAGCAACTATTCAAGTTTTTTAACAATGAATTAAACATAAATTTATCCTTCCCAAGATTCCCAATATGATACCAATCATATTCATTTGGAGTCCTCCTCCTCCTCTGTCATTTTCATCATTATCATCACCATCATCATCATCATCTTCTTTGCCGTTATTGCTATCATCTTTCTTTGAAATGTCCCTGTGAGTGCTCAGATTAGGTACAACTTCTTGTAATCTGATTCCAGTAGAAGGTAAGCTCCTCGAGGACAGGAGTTATTTTTCAATTTAATGTATCCCTAGCTCTTAGATTGGGCCTTTCAGTCAGATGCTAAATAAATGTTTCACTAATTTATAGCTGTTTAGAACAATTTCACATTCCGTGGAATTAATTGTCTTAATTGATTTCAATAATATTCATTCTAACTTTACTAAGTGCCTCTTACCATTGAGTAGATAAGTACTTCCCTATTCAGTAATATGGTTTCCAAATTCACTTAGCTTTTAAGCAAAGAACAGGTGAACTACTTAAGATCACTTCCTATCTTTATACCCTCTTGCATATAATGGAGGAGTTTTTTGGTTTTGTCCTCCCTGGAATCCCCATCATTTTCCACCTAAGTAGTGTGAGGAGCAGGGCTGCCCCTCCATGTAAGCAGAAAGAATAATTTCATACATGGTAGGATTTGAAGGGCAGACCAACTTCTGTCCCTTAAAATCTTACCATGCTGGCTTAATTAACATAAGGTCTGAAATTCCTATTCATTAAACAAAGATAGTATCTTTAATTGGTCCCTGATAAATGCATCACTGCATCCTGAATATGTTAATATGAATTAGTTAGATTACTTACTGTACCTAAGAGAAAGCAGAGACCTGGGGAAAACTATACACAGGACAGACAAATTTTCATGTGATAGGAGATAGGAGGAAAAATTGGGAAATGGTCTAGTAGAAGAATAGGCCTGCTCAAAATGGAAGATCCCCTTCTGATTGTCTGGGCCCATGGAAGGAGAAATAGTGACAAAAAGAGGGGAAGGAGTGTCAAAAAAGAAGGTCAATATGGACACTGAAAATAAAGTGTTCCTTTCTCATTTTGCCTTCAGTGGAAGAGAGTAAGTTCTCTGAATCCTTAATGTGTACCTGGCAAGGAGAGGCTGAGCAAATGTAGGCAAATCCACTTAAGACATCGTCGAGTCTCTTCTCTTTCCTGTGGAGTCAAATAAGGACATCACTGCTACCTCCTTAAGCCTTGGGGTTGCTCTTCATATGTTTTGAGCCAAAAAACAATGAGACCTTTGCTTTGAGGCAGTGTGGAAGAATGGATAGAACTTTGAAATTAGAAAGGTCTAAATTTAAATCCTGCCTCGGAAAAGTACAAGCTGTTTTTGATCCCTGGCAAATCACTTAAGCTCTCTGTCTCTGTTTCCTCATCTTTAAGGTGGAGGGAGGGGTTGGACTCAATGGCTTTTAAAGGTCATTGTAGCTCTAAGCCTATGCTCCTGTGATCATTTCATAGATACCCTAACATCATTGTTTGGATGGACATCAGGGAGTCACACGGAGCTCCAGAACTAGAAGGGAATTCAGTCACCATCTTATCCAACCATTATTAAATGATGATGATGATAATAATGATGATAAATTATAGATGAAGTAACTGATTTCCTAGGAAGATTAAGTTGCTTTCCCAAAGTCACACATGTACTTAGTACCTGTCCTCCCTTTCTTATCAGTACTCCTTAGTACTCTTCTCGGTGATGCAGTGTGAATGATTTCCTCCATTCCTGAAATGAGGATTTAATGGAGAGATGAGAGTATTCCTTGAACCCCTGATAAGTACCTCAAGAGCGAGACACTAAATGTGTTCAGAGTAGTTGGTCTTAAGGCCTTTATTTTTTCCAGAGTCACAATTTTTCCTAGGTAGGGGCTGCTAGGTGGAGCAGTGGTTAGAGCACCAGGCCTGGAGTCAGGAAGACCTGAGTTCATATTCAGCCTCAGACATTTTCTAGCTATGTGACTCTGGGCAAATCACTTAACCTTTTTACTTCAGTTTTGTCATCTGTAAAGTGAGCTAGAGAAGGAAATGGCAAACCACTCCAGTATCTTTGCCAAGAAAACCCCAAAATGGGGATAATGAAGAGCATGACATGACTGAAATGATTGAGCAACAAAAGGGGTCTGTATCCTGGCACCGTGGTAGATTAATGCTTCATATCATGCCCCCCTTCCAACCCTCTACCCCATGTACACAAAACATGCCTTAGACTGCTTAGATGCTATAAGCCAATTTAAAAAGTCAGGTAAAACTATGTTTTAAAAGGATGTCCTGTTATCTTGTCCAGGACAAGGACAGTATGAACAGTCTAAGCCATTTATTGACTAAAAGTACGAAACCTGAATGTGAATAATGACGAGCTTTGACTGGAGATAATGCTGCTCATTTTCTAGCCTGCTGTGACCTATGTGGCACTGACTTAATCACGTATCCTGTAGTGTGAGGAGGAGTGTGTGTGTATGTGTGTGTGTGTGTGTGTGTGTGTGGTGTAAGTTTTGCTAAAAAAAATAACACTAGCAGAATCACAATTTTCAAATTCAAAACCTATCATTCTCCACTTACTGAGCTTGGCTGAGTTTTAAAAACTGTGCTGCTAAAGTCTCAAATCAGGTGTGAAATCCCCTAAAATCAAGCTCCAGAAATTCAGACATCCTTTGGTAAGTATTTGATAGGGCCTGAAGGGAGAGTCCAGTTTCAATGATTGGGGAAAATAGGGTTTTAATAAATAAAACTCTTAGTAAATTGTAAAGTTGTCATGATTTTCAGTTTGAAAAAAAGACTCAAGCTTAACCATTTGTAATATTATTTCTTTAGTTGCTTTTGATATAATGTTGGTACGGGCACGTGATTTTGTTAAGCACATAACAAGAGTTCCTCTGTAACTTATAGCCTTAGGGTATTGCTTGGGTCTACCAAGAGGGTAAGTCACTTGCCCAGGGTTATACAGACTATATGCATCAGATGTAAGACTTGAACCCAGGTCTTACTGACTTGCAGGTTATTCCTTTATTCTCCATCTTAGATTCATTACTTAAGGCTTTTTATCCTAATCACCAGGAACTACTTCATTTAGGTTATACAGATAACAGCCATGCCATAATATTGACAGACAAATAAAACCCAGATAGTAATTTATAGCTAAGGTAATCCAATAATAGTAATGATGACAATAATAATAGTTATTATTGTTGTTGTTGTTGTTATTATTATAGCAACTCATATCTATATGACCCTCTAAGGTTTTCAAAGCACTTTACATTTCTCTTTTGACTTTCACGATCCTGTGAAGTAAATGCCATTTGTATTGGTATCTCCATCTTACAGAAAGGAAACTGAAGCTGAGAAAAGGGAAACAGAAAGTAAATATGCCCAGCTAGTTAGGTGAGCTGGAGAATGAAATGGCAAGTCACTCCAGTATCTTTGTCAAGAAAACCCCAAATTGGGTCATGAAGAGTCAGAGACAACTGAAAAATGACTGAACAACAATTAAATTGGTCTTAAGGCCCCTGATCGTCCAGAGTCACAGTTGTGCTTATGTAGGGACCAGGATTCTGACATCATGGCACAGACACACGTCAGATTAATACCTTTTGCCTAACATAGTACTTTTTTTCCCCTCACCCAGGTCCAATACCACCTAGTTACTTGCCTACTGAGGCAAGATTTCAACCAAGGCCTGTCTGATTGAATCTAGAGTCCAGTACCCTGTCCTCTTTCTCAATTTGCCTCTCATTAACTAATCAAAAATATCTAAGTAATCTTCATTCTGATGCCAGTGATTATGTAATTTTTTGAATAAACAAATATCTAGGGGAACTAGAGAATAGTAGAAGGTGCTCCATTTCAATAAAAAGTCAAAACATCTTTCAAAGGTAGGAGCAAGTGAGGGAAGTCTAATTGTGAATGTGCAAAAACTTTAGATAATAAAATCCAACTACGAGAGTGAGAGAGAGAAGGAAAGGCTGAGGTTTTCTGGGATTCCCATTCCACTCACTTACATCTCCTTCAATTCTCTGTATGAATAAATTGTATTCTAAGCTGCACTTTTTGGTGTTCAGGTGCAAATCAATTTCACAGTTGCTACTATTAAGAGATGGGGTCACAGACAACTGGAGTTAATAGGTTCTCCCAAATACAAGATAGATGATCCCAGTTGTCTTCTCCTCTCAGAAACTTCTCATGGGTGAAACACATTCATTTTAAACTTTTGTATTCAACCACCTGATTGGTCACTTCTGTAGAAAGATGACTAACTTTAATCATCTTTACTTTCCCATTATAATATTTCCCTATCAGTGGAGAAATAAATAGCTTAGCAAAGCTTTTTCATGGGCTGAGTCATCTCTGAGTCCCTGCTTATTTCTCTTTCAAAATTAGTTTGTGTTGCAGTGTGGAAGAACCATCACATGAGGACTGTCACCAACTACTTCATTGTCAACCTTTCCCTGGCGGATGTGCTTGTGACCATTACTTGCCTTCCAGCAACATTGGTGGTGGATATTACAGAGACTTGGTTCTTTGGACAGTCCCTCTGCAAAGTGATCCCTTACTTACAGGTATGATTACTTTCTGTTGTTTGTTTGAACATCGCTACAGTGTCTTTTTTTTTTTTTTTTGGCTAGGCAATGGGGTTAAGTGACTTGCCCAGGGTCACACAACTAATAAGTGTAATGTGTTTGAGGTCAGATCTGAACTCAGGTCCTCCTGAATCCAGGGCCGGTGCTCTATACACTGCGCCACCTACCTGCCCCTACAGTGTCTTTTTAAAGTTTCCCTAGCAGAAGGACTAGTACAGAGGTGTCAAACATACTACTGCCATTACCAACACTCTCAAATGTGGCCTGTACTAGATTAAAATGTAATTGGGAAATATCTAATAAAATAAATAAAAACACAATATAACAGATATGTGTTTTTCTAAGTTAACATTCAGCTCACAAGAATCCTAATATATTATTTAGTCACTCCATTTCTAACTACCTGGCGAGTACATAGCCAAAACAATACAATAGTTATAGGAAGCTGAAGTGACCATGGAAATTACAAATAAGACTTTCAGAAAAAGATACAAGCCAGTGAATGAAAATTCAGTATCCTGAGCGATATGGAATTATCTCCTTTGGTTGTCCTTTTTCTTAGCTATCAAAGGAGAGATTAGACTGGATAAGTCCTGATGTTCTTTCCAGATTAAATATTCATATTTGGTCAGTCAACAAGCATTTATTAAGCATCTGCCTGCGTCAGGCATTGTGCTAAATGATGAAGATACTAAAAGAGGCAAAAGATTGTCCCTACCCTCAAGGAGATAACAATATAATGGAGGAGACAATAAGCCAACAAATATGTACAAACAAACTAAATACAAGATAAATAAGATATAATCAACAGAGAGAAGGCACTAGAATTAACAGAAGTTGGGAAAGTCTTCCTGTAGAACATGGGAATTTAGTTAGGACTTAAATGAAGCCAGGAAAGCCAAGGAGGTGGAGATGAAGAGAAAAGAGTATTCTAGGTTTGAAGGACTGACAGAAAAAAAAATACATGAAACTGAGAAATATAAATAGCTTTTTCATGGAATAGACAGGAAGTCAGTGTCACTGAATCATAGAGTACATGGTGGGGAGTGTAATATAGGACAACTTAGGTTATAAAGAGCCTTGAATGCCAAGCAGAAGATCCGACCCTTCAGAAAACAGGGAGCCAATGGAGTTTATTGAGTGTGTATGTTGAGGGGGGTGGTGTGTGACAAAGTAGAATCTGATTCTGAGACTTTGTAGTTGAAACAGATGTGTCCCAGAGAAGGGGAAAGGTAACAGGTGCTAGATAAAACAATGATAATAATCATAATAATAACAATGACATTAATGGTAGTTTTTTTTTCCTATGGTACTCTGTTGAGTAAAGTTCTTTATAAAGCAGCATCAACAGCAGAAAGCACACCGACTCTCAAATCAGAGAACCTGATTTTAAATCCCATCTCTGATGCTGACACCTGTATCTGCTTGTGCCAGTCATTTTATCTCCCTTGGCTTCAGTTTCCCATCTGTACAGTGTGGGAGTTGGAAAAGGTGGCATCTGAACTCACTTCTAGTTCCAGATCTATGATCCTTTATGATCTCATTTTAACTTTATGATAATAACCTGTGAAATAGATTATTATTAATATTATTATTATTATTATCATTACAGATGAGGAAGCCAAGACTCAGAGATGGTAATGAACTTACTCCTAGTAACATAGTTATTATAAAAAATGGGATTCAATACCATTTCCTCTTAACTCCTAGTCTGACATTCATTGCCTTTTACCACATTGCCTCCTTTGACTGTCTAGTATGAACACTATAGAGCAAAGGAAGCATAGTCCTTTTTCAGCCCAGCCAGGGAACATGATATGGAGGTGAAAAAGGCCTGTTTTGGGTAGAGAAAAAAAGGAAAAAGAAATATAATTTCTTTTGGTCAGCTGTTTATAGCTTGCCCAGATGAAAATTGGGAGATAGGTCTTTAGATATAGGTGAAGGTGGGGCAGCTAGGTGTCGCAGTGTGTAGATCTCTGGCTTTGGAGTCAGGAGGACCTGAGTTCAAATCCGGCCTCAGGCACTTGACGCTTACTATCTGTGTGACCCTAGGCACGTCACTTAACCCTGATCACCTCACCAAAAAAAAAAAATTAAGAAATTACATTCATTATTGTCCTATGAAGACCATGCTGCTTTAGGTATCTAAGAACCTGGGTTCAAATCCTGCTTCAGGCTCTTGTTGTTGTTCAATTGTTTTCAGTCTTATCCGACATTTTGTGACCCCATTTGGGATTTTCTTGGCAAAGATACTGGAATAGTTTACCATTTCCTTCTCCAGCTCATTTCACAAATGAGAAAACTGAGGCAAATAAGGTTAAGTGACTTGCCCAGGGTCACACAGTTAGAAAGTGATGGAGGCCAGATTGGAACTTAGGAAGATGAGTCTTCCTAACTCTAGGCCCTGCTCTCCAATCACTGTACCACCTAACCGCACCTTCCTCCTACAAACTATTTAATTCTGGGGGGAAAGTCATTTAATCTTTCTGGGACTTGTTCTCCTCATCTGTAAAAGGAAGAGTTGGACCTAGATGATCTGTCAGGTTTTATCCAGTCCTAAGTATGTGTTCTGTGATTCTAACTGTTAAGGACCTATTATGTGTTCCTACCATGTCCCTTCCGACTTTGAGTCTGTGATTCTATGGTCACTTGTTAATTTACAAAAATGTTTAAATTTTAGCCTGAGATATGTTGTTTATTAAATGATTTTGTCTTATCGGGGTTTTGTGAAAAATTTTAACTTTTCAGTATTATTTAGTAGTAATAATAAAGGACTTCAAATATAGCACAGATGAAAAAAGGGAATCCTGATATAGACCTTTGGTACAAAATAGCCTAGATGACCTTTTGAGACTAAAATGTCACCAAGAATCGCTTAGCTATGCAATAGTTGCAGATAGCTATTCTAAAAAGAGGGGGAAGATTTGCAAAGTCAAAAGTACCCAGAAAGTGCCCACATGCCTGTATTTATAGACAGCAATGGTAAAGGGATAGATCACAATCCAGGAAAGTTACAAACTTTATGCATCTATTCAATTAAGAAGGCAAAACTACACAAACTAAAAATTCTGGAAGACTTTAAAAGGTTAAAATTCATTGCAGCATTTTTTAAAAAGCAAGTTCCAGATCAAAGATTAAAAAAAAAAGAATTTCCTAAAAGAATTAAAACTTGAAGTTTGTATTGGAATGGGATGGAAGTTAGCCATTACTTTATGACTCTGGATGGGCTAAACTCATAAATTTAGAGCTAGACAGGAACTTAGGAGACGTTGAGTCCACTTGCCCTCCTCTTTTAAAGATAAGGAGACTGAGACACCGAAAGGTTGTGTGTTGCCCCAGTTGACACAGCTTTAAGTTTATAAATGAGGATTTGAAACCAGGTCTTTCTTGACTCTAAGTCCAGTGCCCTATCTACTGTATAAGCTGCCTCTCACCTAGTTTGTAGAGCAACCTTTCCATATATCTTAGGATGGAAATAAAGTGCTGCATTTCTCATGGCAGCATGGTCAAAGGACTTCTCTAGTGAGGGATTTATTTCAAGTTCAGATTGGTTCCTAGATTGGGGACCTTTAAAAATTTGGGAAATGAGAGCAGACCCAGATCTCCATCAAAAGGTTACGAATTAAAAACTTTTCCCTTTACACATAGAGGCAGAATTTTTTTTTTCAACATGACCTTGGGAGAAGTTCAAAAAGTGCTAGGGTAAAGGAAGAGATTATGAAATACATTCTTCTCGTATGGGAATCTTTGTACTAGGTATTCCATCTGAGGCAACTCATTGATTGGTTGGGGCCTCCAGAGCTCACTTGGGTTGCGTACACTTTATACCCATTCCCAACACCATCCTTATGTTTGTTGCAAGCATAGTCCATGGTATCAGCTCTTTTTAGTTTAGGAAGTTTGCAAGAATTTCAGGATTTTCTAACTTTTAGGCATCAAAGTACTGCCTTAAGGTACCTTGTAGCCTAGTACTTACTCTAAAGAATGTGTATACTGGGTACATCTCTGTAGATATTAAACACCTATTGTACTTTTTTAAATGGAAAAAAAGTAGTGATAAATCCTTTAACCAAAAGAGCAAAAAAGTTTTCTGAAAGAGTTATCATATGCTTCATCTAACCATCTAAAGGCAGTTCATCTTTCTTAATTGGGATTCAACCAGTTTGTTTTCATCCATAACCCAAAGGATAAAAATGAGTAACCATATATCTGGGTGATGAAAAGGACTAGATATAGAGCTGATACTCATTAGGCCTCTGATAATTCTGTTATCTCCATTTTATCACTATTTTTATCTTTTCTGGGGACTATTCCAGACATTCTAGAATTCCTGGCTTAGTCTCACCATGATTCCAGTCTAGGCACTCTCATTTATATTTGAAAGGATTAAAAGAAGAATTAGAACACAAGATGTTTCATTCCAGGGTATGTTTTTTTCTACTATGAGACCTGGCACCTCCTAAAACCCTTTCTAATCCTCTTGGAAAATTCTTTCCAACAGCTCTAACCATTATCAAGTTTTAAATTATATTAAGCCAAAATTTTCTTCCCTGTAACTTCACCACAACTAGAAAATGGTCCAATAAATTAGCGAACCCTTTGGGCATCCTAATAGTCCAGATTATATAATAGGTGAAGAAATAGAATGAACCAATCATCTGATACCAACAAACAAATCATTTGGAAATAAACTATGTTAAGCTTGGGCCCCTGAAGTAGGAAAGTCATCTTTTCTCCCATCATCATGGACTATGATGAATCACTAACAACTCAGGGCAGGTTCAGCAAATATGCCCCTAGAGGAAGTCATGCATGGGGCTGAGACTCCTTAAGAATCCTGGTAAGGAGATTTTCCTACATTAATGTGAAAGTGTGGTTATGATGAGAGTCACATAATTCACAGGCAATGTTAGAGCAGGACCTCAGAAAACCTTTGATGAAGCTACGAGGGTATTTCTCCAGGATACTACCTTTCTCCA